TTTTTTTTGTAGGATATTTGCTAGCCCGGCGTGATTCACTGCGCCTTAAAAGTATTTTTGTGTTATTTGATACCCGTATTGTAATATTTCATTTATTTTATCAATTAAGTTTAATTAAAATTTTCAAACATGTGGCAATCTTCCTCAAAAATATATTTCCTAAACTTCTTCAGTTTGGTACTAATATTGAAATATTTAATTTATCTCATCAATTAAAATGAATTAAAATTTTCAAACATGCGGCAACCTCCACAAAAATATTTTCGGCCGTAAGCCTTCTTAAACCTCTTTCTTTTGACGGCCACGTTGAAATTTTTATTTTACCTTATCAATTTACTAAACAGCGATTTTCAAACAGGTGGCAACTCTCTATTTTTTTCTTTCTATATTTTAAGTTAGACCTCTAGCAATGCATTGGTGAGAACTGCATTCAATTTCATGCATTAGTTTTCGAGTGATGCGCGTACAAACATACATACAGAAAAAACTTATAAAAATTTTTGATTTGCCTTCCGTAATAAAGACGCGCATAGTAATTTTTCTTAAAAATTATAATTAGTGGTCAAAGTTCAGGTCTTCGAAAAATTAAATTCCTTATATTGCAAACAGTTTTGAACTGATTAAAAAAAAGTTTATATCTTTGTAAATTTACTGTATACTTCGTATATGAAAATTTTAGAAAAAACAAATTTAAAGGAAAAAATACCTTTTTTTATAAAAAAAATTGTAAACAAAAAAATTACTAACCGATTTTTAAAAGGTTAGAATCGTTGTAAAGGCGATTAAACCCCCTTTCTTCTTATATGCATATTTGTGTACTTCGTTTAAAAAATAAAAAAAAAAACACATTTAAAGAAAAAATAAATTTTTTCTTATAAAAAATATTTTTAACAAAAGAATTACTAATTAGTAATACATTTGAATACTTTGTTTAAATAAAACAGAAAATTACCTTTAATTTTTATATATAACCTGTTATGTGAAAGATCAAAAACCATGGTGTTTTTTATATTTTTATATGCCTTATGGCCTTATTCATAAAAAATAAAGTAGGTTTAAAGAGCTTTATAAATTGACGTTTTTATCAATTTTTCAGTTTATAAACCTTTTTTAAAGCTACTTTATTTTTTATGAATAAGGCCATTAGACTTCTGTTACATATACTTTGGCTTTATTTTTAACAGGACTATGGGTGAACGGGAACGAATTAATGCTTAAAACACTAATAATTATCTGTTTTATTTAAATACCGTATTCAATTGTATTACTAATTAGTAATTTTTCTTGAAGTTTTTTTTTATAAGAAAAAATTTATATTTGTTCCTTTAAGTTTTTTCTCAAATTTTTATATACGAAGTATACAAATATGCATTTTAGACGCAAGGGGGTTTAATCGCCTTTGCAACGATACTAATCTTTTAAAAATCGGTTGGCAATTTTTTTGTTTAAATTTTTTTGTATAAAAAAAGGTATTTTTTTGTTTAAATGTGTTTTTTATCAAATTTGTATAAGCGAAGTATACAAATATGCATATAAAAAGAAAGGGAATTTAATCGTGTTTGTAAATTTTTTCTTTAAAATATTTTTTTTTAAACAAAAAGCTATTTTTTCATTTAAATGTGTTTTTTTTTCAAATTTATATATACGAAGTATACAAATATGCACATCGCCAGAAAGGGGGTTAAATCACCTTTACAACGATATGAATTTTGTAAAAATCAGTTCAAAATTTTCTGCAATACATATTAAGTTTTTAATTTTTCCAAGATCTGAACTTTGACCCGTTATAGAATCTGTAAAATAAGTTTTTACAAAAAAAAATTATATACCATATAATAAGAACAAAAGGCGGACCACGTCTGTATTTTTACTTTTTTGCTTTTTACATGCAATAATTAAAAATAACTTTTTACCAAAGTTCTAATCTCGAACTTCAAAGGCTCATATCTCGATTTCGGAGGCTAACTTCGAAAAACGGAGAAATTACTTTTTTTTTTACTTATGACTCAATCTCTTAAAAAAAGTTGGTTTGGTCCAATAACCAGCCGGGTGCTGTACAGTGTAATAAAAGGTTTGCTCAGAAAAGAGTTTTCTCGCTCCCTCTTGACAAAATCGGCGTCTTTAGCAAGGCAGCGTGTGTGTGTGTATGCAGCCTTTTGTAAGGGAGTGTCAAAACTCGAATGTCACTAGTGAGCAATCCTTTAATTAACATCGATGTTAGCAGCTCATATAAAAGCATCGATGTTTCCATCGATGTTCCTCCAGCTCTATTGAGCAGTAGATATGTAGTATGTAGATGAGCAGAAAGGGCGTAAGTGTAAGTACAAAATAATTAATTGAATTTATTTTTATTTTTTAAAGCAATTTTGGTGAAAAATTATTATTTTTATTTGAATTTATTATGAAAACTCACCTAAGGGAAAAATCATTTTTCATTTTAATTGCTGGTGAAACCTGCAGAGATTGACATTAAAATAATTAAGTCGATCGGAAAAAATCCTCCCCGTTAAATTAAATTTATTTTTGTGTTTTTACTTACTTTAATTGCGCACAAACACTGGTTTACAATTGGAAGTTAAAACAACGAAAAAAAGAAAAAAAAAAATATCCAGCCTTTTGTATGTAAACAACAAGTGTACAGCTGCAAAAAATATTGATATAATTTCGCTGGACAATTCATTCGGGGAAAATTACGAACGAAATCGGATGCGGCTAATTAAAGCAGCTTGATTTCTCTTACCGGCCAGATGGATGCCATCAGAGACAGCCACTACGTCCGTTTCGGCTTCATCACTTCAATATTTTTTGCATTCCTTTTCATGCTTTGCTTTAGATGAAATTCGAACAATTTTGCCCATAAATACATACATACATATATACTTAGGTAGGTAAAAAGGACAAACATGTTTGTGTGTGTGTGTGTATGTGTTTGGAGGAATCTACTATGTAACACCATTAAATACCTCCCTATTGACTTCATTTCCGTAACTCCTTTGAAAATGACGCTCTACACACTTGCATATGTATATAATATGGAACCGTTTGAGCGTTACACGCGCTTACAAGCATAACAACAAAGCTGCGCCTGCACGCATAGGAATGCTTCCTTGTTAGCCTGTAATAAAAGCGCACATCGCCTACCTACTTGGAGTTTTAATTAATGTCCAGCAATTTTGCGTCCAGCCATGTCGTTATTCATCCGTGCTGTTCTTCCTTTATTAATGCTGCTTCTTTGGGTTTCTGTATTGTGTATGTATATTAGGGTTGTCCAAAAATGCATGTGAAAAAGTAAAGTTGGAATTTTTATGCTCTCACCCCCTACGATTGTTCAATGCCGAAAAAATATGCCCCTATTTTTTTTTTGAAATTAAAAATTATTTGGAGGTCGCTGAAAGCGCTCAAAGCTTCGCATGTATTTTGTATTTTGGAAAAAAACAACTTTTCATAGAAATGGTATACAATTCTTAAAAATCAATATTTTTCTATCGGGAAAACTCTGTTTCTCTGCAAAAGATTCCCACTAAAAATATCCAATTGCTTAGTTAACCATTTTTTCATCGCAACTTGAATTTATAGGTCCACCAAAAACCCCGAAAAATGCAATGGGAGGGCCAATAAAAAATCGTTAGTATTAAAAAATAGTTAAATAAACAATTGGGTATTATTACTGAAAGTCTCCTGAAGAGATCCAGAGTTTTCCGAAGGAAAACTATTGATTTTCCAGAATTTTGTACCATTTCTACTAGAAAAGTTATTTTTTTCCCATATAAAAATACATGGAAAACTTTGAGCGCTTTGAGCGACCTCTAAATATTTTTTTATTTCAAAACAAAAACAATAGGGGTATACTTTTTTCGATATAGAACAATCGTAAGGGAGGGGTGAGAGCATTACAATTCCGACTTTACTCTTTTTGGACCACCCTAATGTATATGCATATTTGGCCACCAAGTGGCTATTGTTTTGTGCTATTTATTTATGGCGCTTGTCTACTTTATAGCTTGTAAATTAATAATCTCTTGGTTGAAAGCAATTTATGATTTTCTAAGAAATTGATTGTTCGTGCGAAAGTGTATCCGGAAGACATGGAGATAGCTTCTTGCGCGATTATTGTAATGCCATGAGTGGTAAGCAAAACAACAGAAGCTTGAAAAGTAAATAAAAAACACCAAAATTCAACAAAATCGATTGCAAGTTGTTAGTATTTTCAAAGCTATTTCTTGATCTGCCGACACTTAAAGCGCATTGCTTCAATAATAATTTAACATTTCTAGATGCACCAGAATTTGATTTTCTAATTAAACTTATCGAGAAAAGATATTAGGATAAGCTGAAATTCGAGAAAGAAGCACAAAAAATCATTTCCTTCATACACCCTAAAAAAAAATTGTGTAGATTTCCTAGATAAAAGGTAGGTTACTGATTTCCCACCTTATTATTCGCGAAATTACACGCTCGATTATCCAACGAATAGTTTGTTTAAATTTCGGACTTTTTAGAGTATAATATAGCTGCTGTGGTGTGCGTAAATTTACTACGAAAGTGTGTACAAGCTACAAACTACACATCTGCTGTTTGATTTCACCCGTTGAAT